ATGGGCAACCATGCGCGAATAACAAATGGTCTATAATTTGTTCGAGGAACACTAGGCACCAACGGCAATACACGAGTCCGTGAGTATGACATGCAATTGCGGAAGGCTTCCAAGGGAGGGGATGGGGGTGGGAGTTACAGTGCTAATGGCTGGCTTATGGAATGCCCACCGCCAAGCACTCGGGGCCCAATAGCCCAACGAAGGCCAATTGCCACAGGGAGAGGTGCCCCACCTAAAGGGCTCACTCCAGCTGGGCCTATGGGGCCTCATGGGAGATACATGGGGTCTTCCTTACTACAGATATAGCATGAGGTCAGAGGTGGGCCGTCCAGGAATGGGGACAGATTAGGAATGGGGACGAGGACAGGAACGGGGATGGACCAGAGTCCGTCCCCGTCCTTGGGCTGGCAAGCCCAGGAATGGCCAAGGACGGATCCGTCCCTGGGTTGGAACGGACTGGGATAGATCTGGAACGGTGTGCAGCTGTCCCAATTTCGTTCCAGGGCAGTACGGCCCACCTAGAAATCCGCTTCTGTACTGCCCAAGGCCTATCTAGATGTAAGGGTTGGGCCCTTAGCACTGTATAATAGAACCATGGGAGCTATATATTAGAAGCAAGAAACATTGTATATTAGGGATACAAAAGGGAGCGTTGTACAATAGGGTTTTGTTAGGGATATCCTGTCGGGGCAGGGCGCCGTGTTGAGTCAAAACAGGGACCATACTAGGGGCAGACCCGCAAGCATGGGAGACCTATTAGGGATGGGTACTGAATAAGAAGTTCACACGGGACAAATAGCTGACTCAACTATGAGACACGGGGACACGGAGGGACAGAAATACGAATTTAAACTAAACCCGGGACACTCCGGCTATGACCATTCGTGTGAGGTCCTCGTTGGCTCCCAAGGCGGGGCCCCAGTTGGGACCTCGTTGCGCGTAGAAAGCGTACGGGTCCACCTCCCGCGGTGAGCCGGGCTGGCTCTTAGCGCTGGTTAGGCTGCGCCGATGGGTAGCGGTTTTGTGCGTTCGGCGTGGGCCCAGCACCGAACAGGGACGGGCAGGCCAGGGGGCTAGAGCGGACAGGAAAGAGAGCATCTATAATCTCAGCCAACCACATACATAATCATGCGGCAACGTTCGGTACCCTTCCATTAGGTTCCATTAGGCTTTTATTAGGGAATTCTCATCTTCCAGCGTAGAACCTCACTTTGCTCAATTAGGAACCAAATCCATTAACCCGTCATGGGTTTGTGATTTGTAGCACTCACTTAGTACTTTATGACACAGGGGCCTGGGCAATATGTTAGGGCCAACAGGAACTTGACAGACTGGGATGGACTGGGACGGATTGGGATGGGAATAGGAATGGGTCCATTCTTAGGACAGAAACGGACACTATCAGCGCGGTTCCCCCTTGGCCGTGTCCAAGTACCCTGGCCCACGCTCTAGGGCCTCTCCGATAGAAGCGTGGTTGTCCTCGGCCGGACGACGTGTCCCGGGCTCTCTCTGGCCCGTGGGTGATGGCCGCTCTGTGCGGTCCCGTCCGAGGTGCGCGGCTGCTATGCTCGAGGAGGCAGGGAGGCTCCAGAACAATCGATCACTACAATCGGTGCTGTCGCCAGGCGCTCTTACACGTGGCGGCCAAAATCATCAAATTCATTATATATATTAAGCGTCTCCATTTTGACCAAACCCCGTTTTCCGGCCAAAGGCCTCGCTACGCTCGGTCCTTGTGCCCAAGTCGTTACGGCCTGCTCCGCTTCGCTCCGCATACGGCCTCCACAACTTTGGCGACGGGCTGAGCGTAGCAAGGCAAAACAAGAAACCAACGAGTTGCTACCACATTACCACAGACACCATCCCCGTTCCCATTCCAACCCCATCTGGCCGGGCCTACCTCTGCAGGAGATAGAGGATGCCGAGATCGAGCCAGAGGATGATGAGCCTTACGATGTACAGAAGCTGTTGCAATAAAGATGGGTGGGACCCAGTGGCAGGAGGCACAAGGAATTTCTTGTGTTATGGACTGGATGGAGTATGGATGATGCCTCCTAGATTCTAGCCACCAACTTCACCTACCAGAGAGAGCTCAAAAAGCTGATCAAGATAAACAAATTTGCTAAGTACACTAATATGGGATAATGTGCTTTCGGGGGCGAAAGCTATCCCAAGGGGGGAGTGTTGTTGTGTGTATACTTGCGTTTTGTATGCTTTTGGGTCAGTATTGGGCCGGTGGGTGGGGTTGGGTGGTGAACCAAGTACAATGGGGTTCGTTTACAATGATTATGATGTTGTTGTAGCATTTCCCATGGGGGACCAAATGTGCATCCCTGCAGGAAGCTGTGTGAACTTGTTCCTTTTATTCTGTGCCCGTTCCACCTCCACGCCTCCACTTGACACCAAGCGGCCGCCGGGGGCCAATCCCCAATTGAAAGTTAGCCGAATAGCACCACCGGGACAATACCACCCACTGATAAAGATGTTGTAAGTGCCCATCCACCCAGCAAATTCCTGCAAGAGCAAGCTGAATGGGCCTGAGATTAGTCTCTCTTGTTTGTGATTGTCGACTCGTGTTTCGACACCATGAACCCGACCTACTGACCCACGTTGGCCTTGTCAGCAGAAGTAGGGATCTTCAAGAAGAACAAGTGCGGACTAATGCCCTCTCCCAAGCGTCCACGTCATCAAGGCCACCCGGCACACAAGAACGCCCACTCGCCCCTCCCGCAACAGCCCTCGGCACCTGTGGGATGCTGGAAAGGCGCGCGGGAGCCCTTCTGGGAGTCGCGCGGGCACCTTCGTTGCACGGCATCCGCCCTAGCTCCAACATGCCTCCGAAGAGGAAGAGCGAGGCGGTGGAGTCGGGCAAGTCCGGCTCTCCCGCCAAAACTCACAAGAAGCCGAAGCAGGCCAAGCTGGCGGAGCCGTACACGGGCGAAGACGGGTGGACCATCCATCCGCCCAGCCTCATCTACAAGTGCGCGTTGGCGTTCGAGATGCCGTTGGCTTGCGCATGTTGGTGTGGAATTGTTGTCATCTGCCTTAGCTTGGCCTTGTGGAGCTGGAGGACGCGTGCGGCTGGGTTTGGTTTGCGCTCAAATGCTCCCATGTTTTTCGGCCGACTGGACAAGAGCTCAGGAGATCTGGTGCATGGCTGTAGGCACGACAGCAGGCTTGCGTTTTGACATTGACCGTGGTGTGCCCATTGGATCTTTGGGCGCGCTGTCAGTTTGATATTCATGGCTGCAGGAGCGGCGGCAGCGCTATTGCTAGGATCTTTACTCTGGAAAAGCTCCAGTTTTGTGGAGGGATCCTGAGGCATCGGCTGTTCAGAAATCCAGAACTGTGGTATGGAACTCAGTTCATGTCCACTTGCATGGGTGTCCAGGGTTGGAGGCATGGCCCCGAACTCGAAGCTGGCTTGCTTTGACCTGGTGAGTGAACGAAATTCCTCAATGGCAACATAAGTACAGTACGCTGGTGATGTCATGTGTGTCTGCTGAAGTTAGATTGTCAAACAAAATCTGGTTCCTGTTGTGTACAGCGGCCTGGAAATGGATGGCAAACACCATCCTGAACCCCACGTCATCAGAACACTCATGTATGATTGAATGAACACATGAACCTGATGAGTGGGAAGATGGAATCTGCTTCCCGATTGGGTCGTCCACTGCAGAATGGTGCGCAACTGTCACTTGCCGGGCTCGCTTGTTGGCAAACCACATTTGGACCAAGACATGCATGGGGCTCGCGGGCTTAAGCTTTGGGGTTCTATTCCAGCACTGCAGGATTCTGGGGTGCTAGGGGTGCGAGAGTGTCACCAGATTACTCCAGAGCTGTATAAGCCAGGCACAGGGCACAGTCACACTCATTAAACGGTGCTTGCCCTTTGCTGTTCGATATACTGGTGCTCTTGCAACTCGTTCTAAGGTGACACCTGTTGGGCCCCTCAAGGCTTAATGCCCTGCGTGTCTCTACTGCAAGGACGGTACTCTTGTGAACACAAAGAGCAAGAGCCAATTTGCCAGGGATGAGAACGACTGGAAGTTCTTCAACAAGAAGGTGCCACAAGTTTTGAAACAGTATGAAGCTCAAGGATACAAGCTGGTAATTTTCAGGTGTGGAATGCACTGTTGCCTCACATTTACACCCGGTACGCTCATCGTTGCATGCGCTATTCTGTTTGTCTTTGGTGACAAGGATAATCTTCAGTGGCAAGGGAGAGGTCCTCTTTCCTCAGGAGGGAAGCTCAATGCATGACTTGCTGTTGACCAAGCTTGATATTAGCACTGTAACAACTGATCATATTATGTTAAGCTTTAATGCATAAACAGGCGTAAAAAGAAGTAAATGCAGATGTAATACAGCCCCCTGTGCATAAAGACAGTACATAGAAACTTAGGGAGTCCAAGAAGTGGCAGCTAGATGCCCTGGAGTGGATAGAAACGAATTTTTGTTCAACGACATTGTTGCCCTTGCCAAGGGCGAGGTGGACATTGTGTTGCGGGTGCTCGAGGGGACAGAGGACTGATCATTGTACGTGACTTCATCTTTCAATCCGGGTGTCCCAATGTGAGATAAGAATACATAAACACAGCTTTGAAAATAGCTCCTTCTCTGTGCTTACTTTTTGACGCATAAAAATGTCAACGTAAATGTAAAAACCAAGCCTGCTGCTGACGACCATTTGAGCACTCCAGTGCTCTTTGGAGTAAATGTGGGCACTCCTTGCAGCAAGAGGATTTGTGACTGATTTGTTGCCAACAAATGTTTCATTTAGACCCCGGGTGCCACCCCTATCCCAACAGAAGTGTGGTGTCCTTGTGCAACATTAGTGTGCGGGACATCTCACCTGTCTCTGTTAATACGGGTTGATGAAGTTTGGTCCCAACAGAGTCCCAGTATCTGCACAAGGGAAATGTACCCATCTTGCCAGTTGTTCACCAGTGGTGATGTACAAGTGCAGATCAGGATAGTTTTCAAGTTTTCTGGTTTTGCAGCAACCAAGCTGGCATTCGTTCTAAGCTTGATGGGAAGAATGCAGAGAAAACGAAGGGGAGGATTGACAACATGCTGAAAACGGTGGGTTGTGCTGTTTTACTATCTGTTTGTGCTTTGATCTGTTCAAGAACTTTTTATTTTACTGCATTGTGATTGTTGCAGTAGTGTGTTGGAATTTTGGGATTGCAAAGCTGATTAAGAGTATTTTGCCTGTTGTGACACTGATCAAGGTACAGGTAACAACACATATATTATTGGAAATCAAGTAATTGTGAGCAAGAGCACCTAGCAGAACATCAATGTATTTGTGATACATTTCTTTGGGTATCTGGCAGGTTCAAGTAGACATGCAGGTGTTCCTCGCAACAGAGAAGGATGGCCTCCGCAAGCCTGAGTGTGGCATGTGGAGCTTTATGTTGGAGAATTGCAATGGGGGGATGCAAGCAGGTAAGCACAGCAATCTCCTGGAATGCTGCAAATTGAACAGGAAGACAGATGCAAAATTGAATTTCCTAGGTGAAGGCAATTCGATTTGTATTTTCCCAAGGGCCTAATCAGTGGACTTTTATCCATACTCTGCATAATTTTTCTCAAAGAATGCCTCAACATTGTGTGTATATTCGAAGTGCCCTTGCCTGTTGTCCCAGTTCTGAGGTTGTTTGGCCAACACTATTGGGCACTGACTGTGTACCGATGATTCAGCACACCCTTCCATATACATGCATGGCTTGCGCCTATTATCTGGTGCTGTACAAGAGCTGGGTGGCAGGTTTGTTCTGCATCCATGCTTTGTTCCTTGTTGTGTCCAGCAGTGTGTTTTCTCATTTCATAGTGTTAGCCGCTCCCATCCCTGGGTATCAAGTAACTGCTCTGCGGTAAACAATCATTCAATGTGCCTATTTTCTTTGACAGCGATCACTTGGCCTGGAACATTGTGCCAAATGTACAACACGCAGTGCTCCCTCTGGGATAGCCAGTGAAATTGTGTGTTACTTTTGCTGAAATGCCTGGTGCAATAGCTGCCTCACAACCTCACTGGTGGTTAAGCACTGACAGATTAGTGCCACCATGCCAATGATCATGCGAATGATGCATAATCTCCACCGCAAATCTGTGGACATGTATATTACTGTGGAGATTCTTGCATAGTGGCTATTGGCACTAAGTTCAGCATGATTTGCAGCAAGCGAATGACAATTGCAAGGCAGTTTGAGTGGCACTCAAACACACACACACACACACACACACACACACCACCCTTGACAACCGAATGGCACATTCTATCAGCTGTTCTTCTCAATTTTACAGTTAGTGGACTGCAACTGTAGTGGCTTCAGACTCCATGAGCTGAATGTGAGGAAATCCTCATGCACAGCATTGACAGCAGGTAAGTTGGTGCACAGCATCTAGCTGGCAGAGAAATCTCTTTGTGGGGTGTCATATTTCATGAAGAATACCCAGCAAAAACGTACATTGGCCATGCAAAGTCACAGCATTTGACACATTTTCACACTACTGGTATCATTGCCTCGCAATCACTCAACTCTCTTGTCCATCAAAATTCTCTGTTGACACCCTGCTGTATTGTGGTTGTGCCACAGACAAAACAGTGAGTTTTTTTGTTGGGGATGCAGCTGGCCGTACCTTCGACTTTGACGACACTGATAAGTGAGTCGCATCACCGTCAATGGCCAAGTCGTCCTGGCAGCAATCGCACTTGCTGCATGCATGTTGTTCTATGTGTGTTGCTTCATGTGTTCAACCTGGTCGCTAGCAGCATTCTTTCCTTGTGCTGGACTGAACCAACTGTGTGGTCGCTTTGTTTTCGCAGGGGTTTTGCTGCAAACATTGGAATCCCATTCAAAATACCTGAAGATGTTTTTGGGTAAGGGAATACGCATGCACGCATGCTGACAAAGAGGAGGATTGTCCGATATCTATCGTTGCCAGATATGAAGGTCATGAAGTCGTGAAGGTCATGGAGGGTGCCAAGGACGTAAAACTGTGAAGACACAAATGCAATACACCCAAAAATGACCTTCATGTTCTTCATAACTTCACGACTTCATGACTGCGTGACTTCATGACCTTCATGGCCTTCACGCCTTGATGTCAGGAAATGAACGGTATGGGACATTTATAACAAGAAAGTGTAGACGCAATGATCGCATTCGAACACAACAATTTTCTAAGCTCCCCATGTGCGCCATTACAGTCCTGACCACATTCACTCTTGCCATAGAATCGGCCTCCCAAGAGCCGCTTGCATCTGTGCTTTGCATGCTACATCATGCACAGTGAGAACAGGGCCGGACGAACCCTGACCAGAGGTATGTTATACCTATTACCTTCAGCTTAGAACTAAACAGACATTTCATTGCCCTGGACTGACCGTCTGGGACCCTTTTGCTGCAGGGAAGGCGAATCGAAAAAACAAGTGAACCTGGCTCAAATGGAGGCCCCTGCCGACAACCTCAATGAGGAATTGACCAACATTTTCAAGGAGCTGGCGGACCTGAATGCAGGTACTGTGGACGGTGTTATGTTGCAGTGCTGGGATGTTATATACCCATGTCAGATGCATTGCAGGAATGCAACGTTGGAACGAATTCAGACTTTTAAAGACATGGACATGGATGTTGTGCAGTTCATACCTGGGATCCCTCTGCGAATTTGGGATGGTGGTTGCCCGGCAGGCTTTGGCATTGTGCAAGACGCCTAGTTCCTGCATGCCTGCGATTCGCCACGGTGTGGCTCGGCACACTAGTCTCCCAGTTTGACCGTACCTTTGCCAACTTTGGAAAGGGGCGCTTGGCTGGCTAGTTCCCAGACCTTTCGATTTTGGTCTCTGCTTGAAAATACCTGAGACCCCCTGATGGTACTTGGCACTTGTGCAATCCAGGTGCAATTTGCTGACTTTGTTCAATATGTTAATAACATCGACATTCATAGCCAGGCATGTGCAGGACAGTTCAGGGCATTGGTACTGCATGCCGTGTATTCCAATCTGCCCATATGAAACTCCCTTTATCTATGTGCGCCATTCGATCTAGAATTCGATCTACGACTGGCTGATAAACGGGACAGATTTGGTCATCCATAGCACATCAGGAGGGTTTGAATTACAACCAGCACGGTCACCACAGTGTGCAACAATCATGGAACAAAATGGTCCGTGTGTGTTGACAAGCGGCCCTTGTTCATTTCTTCGCACTCCCGCAGATGACAGATTCAAGAAGAGTGCCTACCAGAAGGTGGCAACTGCACTGAGCCTGTTTGGCAGCAAGATCACGATGGCCAATCTCAAGGATGTGAAGCAGTTGCCAGGAGTTGGCAAGGCCTCGCTTACGAAGGTGGGCACATGGGGCTCTTGCTTTTCGTTGATTGTCAGCAAGCTGTAGAGAAGGCGCACATATGATGACAATTGCAGCAGAATGTGACGAATCACTGCTGTTGCACATGTCTGGTTTTTGACAAGTATTGCAGCCTGCAGTTGCAGTTCTAAGGCCTCAGTTCGGCTTTGCAACTGCAGTTCCCAGTTGCAGGTTCGTGAGGTTGTATGCCGCTGTCGCTGTCCCATCCTTTGCACAGGCCGTCAATCTAAATTGGATGACGGGCGTGTTCCTCTGCTGCCTTTGAGAGTGCTGCTTGTTGCTGACGCTGTGTTGAAGTGCAATTCTTTCCATTCGCATCAACCGTTCCACACAAAAGCCACCCAAGGGTGATCAAGAGGGTTGGACTGCACCGCATGGCTGTATTGTGCAGGGCTCAGTTCTCAGACGCGGCTCACTCTCCTAAATTGTCCTTCAGCGAAACATGCCATGTGAAGACCAACCCGCTCCTCTGCGACAATTCTGCGAAGCTGCTGTCCACGCTGCAGAAGACGACAAGGCAGTCTCTGGGTGCAACAGATTAAACTTGAAATGGAGTGGTACTACCATGAACCCTGTTACCCTGCATGTCGTACACTGCCAGTCACAGCTTACCACTGCCAGCTTAACTGGTTGCGGTAGTACCATGAACAGAAAGGCAACCCAGCCAATGGGCGCCCCTTCCTGGCGAAATGCTTAGAACTCGTGTCCACGTGAGGAGGGCGACTTAGAATCTCCCATGGGACACACCGGGATGGACAGCAGCCGATTTAGACGTTTCAGCATCGGCCGTTGAACACCCCTCCTTTCATGCCACCGTGGCTAACATCCGTTGTATGCAACCAGATCGAGGAGTTTCTCACAACTGGGAAGGTCGAAACACTTGAGAGGCTTCGAGGAGGCCCTGACGACAAATTAGGGAAGAAATCCGCAGAGGCCAAAGATAACTCCATGGCCATGAAATTTATGTGAACCGCCATAGCCCTTGAGACTGCTGGAAGCTTTGTACAATATGCGAGAACGGAGTGGAGGGCTATTTTATGGATGCTTTTGATCACGACTTCCATGGCTGTGGTAGGACAACCAACCCCAAGCAGTGATTTGACATAATTCCAAAGCTGGCTTGTTCGGCGGGCCCCCTTGGTTATGACAAGTGCGACAGTGTTGTGCATGAGAGATAGGCATTTTCCTTGAATTGTTGCAAAGGGGGCCATAAATGTGGTGGTGGGTAGGGGCCCATAGTGTGGCAGCTCTGCCCACTTCAGCAGCCTTGAACTGTGGCGTACCTTTCTACACAGATTGCATCTCAAGATCTGCACGGCGCCGCTGCTGTGTGCCTGATCCTCATCGCCACTTAAAGTTCGAGGTTGTTCGAACAACTGCTTACGTTTGAGGGGCGTGAAATGGATTCGTTGCCGCAATTGGTGTGGGTCAAGAGTACGCCGGCATGGCGACCTACCTTTCACATCAAAGATTTGTCTGGTTGATGTTTAGAAGGGTACAGGAAACGGTTCGCCAGTGAGCCTGGACCCAGGCCCTACGTTTCGAAGGATGGGTGTGGTGATTGTGGTCCACAATTCGTGGGGTTCCGAGTCAAACTATCGTGCCCAGAGAGCAATTGCTCGGGACACGTTGCTGCCAAGACCACCCACACATACCCACACATGCCATACCCACACATGGGTATGCACCACACGAAAGGCCAGTCGCTGACAATCAGCAATGTTGAGATCTTAGGCATTCTGTCATGCACAAGTGCAAATTGCTGTAGCCCATCTCGCCCAAACCGCTCGCCAGTCTTGGAAGTCCAAAGACACCTCTTGCTGAGGGAGGCTGTTGGTTTCGTTATTTCACCATCAGCTGAAATGGTACCAATTGCCTTCTGCACTTGTAGCGCTGCCTCCTCTCCAAATGGCTGTATTCCTCATGTTCAGTGTCCGTGTGACCATTTTGACGAACGTCCATTGCAACAGGAGTGCGGCAAAGGCTACAGCCTAAAGTGAATATTCCTGGGTTAAGTTGTTAGCATGAGAACAAGGATTGGTTCCCTCAGTCTCTGGTTTACAACTCTCGTGCCTTGTTGACAGTCTCGTTCACAATTGCAGTCATTCCCAGCGCTGCAATGAGGTATCAGATCACAAAGTGTCACTGCACTGAGAACGTGTTCGCTTCATCAGAGCTGCACTCATCTCCCAGGTCTTCACAACCGCCAGCACAACGTCATCGTCTCCCTGTGCCAACATTTGCCAGGTGTCCGAAGGCACATCTTGCTTTCTGCATCCTGCATGCATTCTCTTGCGCTTCAACCGACACACTGGCAACGAACTGTGACACTAATTCTAGGTTCACGGACAAGATGTCACTTTCATGGACCCCTGAATCCATACTTGTTTCACAGCGTCCACAAGGAATAACCCGTACGTTGTCACGGCATGGGGTTCGGTGTTCATGCCTACTCACGCACTGTCAACAGTAACTGGTGGTTGTGCGTCTGTCTTGATGACCAATGCTCTGCTGCGCGTTGCTGTCGTTTCCTCTGTACTGGTGGGTTCATGGGGTTCGTTTTCGTCAGCAGCGAGAGGCCACGTGCACAGCCGTTCCAAATGGTGCTGCCCACTGGATGGCCTGCTGGAGCATTTGTGGGACAGCCACGCCAGGGCAGTGGTGAACATGGTAATCCAGCTCGCCATGGTGATCACGTTCATGGTGTGCAGTGCAACAGCTTTTCAGGCTGAACTGGTGAGCAGAGCGCCCTTTTCGCCGGGTGCCAGCCAAGGCAATCGAAAGCCACATGTTGTCCCCATTGCACTTTTGGATGGCAAGAGGCTGTTCCCCTTTTTGCAGCATTGAAATGCCACGCAAGGCGCACAAAATTCGCCCAGTCATTGTCTAACCAATTCTGGCCAGAGGGTAAATCAGGCTGCCCAGCAGCAAAGGCACACTGATTGTCTGTTGCCTCTTCCACTACAACATGAATATCATGTTAAGCGGTGCTCCGTGTGAGCAGGAAGCTGCAATGCAGACGGAATTATCGCTCAAAGGCACACTGCACGTTCAATCAGAGGCCACAAAAGCCACAAACCAAACCCATAAAAAGAGTGCATAAGACAATCCTCACCTGTTATGTGGCAAAACCACAAGGCTTAATTCATTGGAATACATCCTCTGGCATTCCATGTTCTCTACACAGCGCCAGCGAATAGACACAGGATTGCCTGGCAGTCACTGGCAAGATGCCAACAATAAGGAGGTGCAGCAGGGGCGCACCTGAGAGGCAACTGCAGCGCAACCTCCAACATGAGACTTGGCAGGAGGCTCAGTGCAATGCCAGCATGCCAGGCCGAATGATCCAGACCCTTTGTGCCATGCATGGGGCACGGCGCGCACATGCCAGACGAGTCCAGCCAAACGCAGCGCCGTTGCTGTGTGCTGCAGTGTTGGACCTCTTGCTGATTACTCACTCAGAGGGTGCAGGGGCTTGGGCAGGGCACACGCCACACAAGCTTGCCAAAGCTGAAGCACAACACTTCATGGCGCACCAGGGCCTCTTGATTCCAGTCGGTTGGTCAGTAGCAATGCAGGAACTTGGACTGCGCATGTGGCAAGGCTGCCGAGGAAGAAATGGGAACAGCGCAGACACCCTTCCAGGCGCCTCGAATCCAGTCCCCTTGTGAGCAGAGGGCTGCAAGAAGTCCACGGCATCCGAAGCCGGAAAGGGTGGGGGAACAGGAGGAACAGGTGCAGATTGGGACACTGCCCCTGGGCGCCGCAGCAGAGGAGGCATGGCACGGCACAGGCACAGGGTGGTAATCGGGTTCGCTGTTGGTGAAGCGGCGAGGTTGTCCAGGCACACGGAACAGGGGACGGCATGGCAGAGTCCCAGGACAAGGGGCCCAGGGCGGTGGCGCATTGGGAACACTGGAGGACAAGCAAGGATTGGCTCACAGAAGAGGGGCCAACCCTGTTGCACACAGTCCACACCCGTCATGCACTCGGAAAACAATGCCTGTGTAAACAGGGGCAAGGTGAGAAGGAGTGGCAAAAAACATCGACCTGCTTGCAGCAAACGGTTGTCAGGCGGAACACAAGCCGTGGGAGGGCACCAAGGTGTACGACCCTCTTCAAGGACACATCACTACCCACCAGAGTCAACAGCTGCTGCTAACAGAAACCAGCATCTCCCCCCACAACACACAGATTCCATCCATGGCAGCATGGCCAGGGTCCGTGGCCCTTCAGCAGCCCTGGAACATGTTCTGTGCCTTTCCTTTTCACAAAGTCCAAGACAGGACAGCCTGCCTGACGTGCTTCTGAAACACAAACCTGGCCCAGCAGTCAATCAAGAAGATGAAAAAACAGCACATATGCACAAAAAGCAGCTGTTCAAACAACACCTAAACCCCAGGCAGGCGCACAGTATCAACCGCATATGCCTCTCTGGACAATGCCAGGGCAGTTGCATTTGCTTTTCCTGGTACCTTGGAGTGTGACCCCTTGACAAATCAGGTCCATACTAAGGAGGGACATCAAGCTGTCGGATGCTCAGCGAATGCTCCTTGCCCGCTCCACCAGCAGCCGGCGACCATGCCAATCTCGCCCGTTCAGATGGTAGATCGACTGTAGAGCAAATGGCATCCATCACAATCAACACCACAGGTTTTGCTCGGTCATGAGTTTTTAACACACACAGAAACCCGAAGTCACACAATCAACAAACCACAACCATTGGTTGCCACCACAGTGAAATAGTTTCAGGTGAGATGTCTTGAGCAAATGCATAGTCTCACATGTGGCAACATATGGCCACAGATCACTTTGACATACGTGAGGATTCCAAAATATGATGATAGGCATTGCCAGCAGTCATGTATCCCCATCATCAGGGACAAGCACAGTGAATATTCACAGCATCCCAACTTGATTTCTCTCAGAGTCCCACAACAGCACCCGCAGGCTTCTCAGCACCGTCAATATTCCCAAGTCACAATGTGCTCTTCGGCAACTCACCTCTTCAACCTCTTCTTCACCACTCATTATCACAAAACCAAAGCCACGTGACTCGCCCGTGACAGGATTGCGAACAACACGTGCTTCCCGAACATTGCCATATTTCATGAACTTCCTTTCCAACTCCTGCATCACAATCGTGACACCAGCGCTCACATGCTGAGCACATTTGCTGCTGCTTCCCTGCTAAGGCTGCCGGACAGGACATTATTGCGATGAAAACATTAGGGTAAAATAGACAGGTCAGTATGAATATCACAACACCGACACATGACACGTAATGTGCTCCAACAGTGATCCAACCAACTGGATGGCAGGCAGGCCGTCGCCAACAGCTATACTATGGCAACAACAATGACAACAGATGCCATTTCCTGATGTCCAACAAAGACTGGGGCCTGCCTCTGACAGTTTCATTTTCTAAGCAAGCACTACCCACTCGGTTGGAGATGATGAAGTTCAGTCCTGCCACAAAGAGGTGAAGCCCAGCAGGGGGGGGTGTGCGGCTGGGTGGCCCATGCCGGCCAGGAGGGCTGCATTGCAAAACCAAACAGATTTCAGGCACCAAACGTTAGTGCGAGCTTGAAGTGCCCATTTCGCAGTAGCCAATATGGCAAACATTGTTTCCCAGCCTGTCAGTACCGCTGACATCACCTCATCAACAAGGGTCACGAACCATGGGACCTCCCTGAATAAATGTCTACTAGTGCCAGGCCCTGCCCATCACTGTGCAGCTCTTCTCACTGATCAGGAGACTGCTGCAATGCTTCTTGCACAACTAGAAAGGGTGGACTACGCTGATACTCATGGGGGTTGTCCCTTGTGCGCAGCCTGTGTCTTGTCTCTGTGAATCGCAAGCAACAAACTAATCTGCAAGCAGTGATCGCAAAGCAAGGAAGGAGCCTCACCTTCGGTGAGACCCCCTGCCACCACGGCTGTCCCTGTCATATCGGCCATCCCTGTCATATCTGACATCTCTGTCGTATCGACTGTCCCTGTTATATCGAACGTCTCTGTCATAGCGACTGTCCCTGTCGTATCGGACATCCCTGTCGTATCGACCATCCCTTTCGTATCTGATGTCCTTGTCATATCGGTTGTCCCTATCACGCCGACCATCCCTCTCATACCGGCCTCCCCTCCTGTCACATCTGTCACTACCCCTCTCATAGCCTCCCCTTTCGCGAGGTGAAGGTGACCGAGGGCGGTACCGCCCCCTGTCCTCATCCCGGCTTTCCCTTGCATTGTCCCTTCCTCTAGCACGATCCCTGTGCAGCAGTTAGTCATCCAGAAGCAATCAACACAAGGCCAACAAGCACCACTCAGTGTTGTTGGGAGGAAAAATCACCCAGCAGTCTCCTTATCAGGCCTGTCCTATTCACAAGACCAGTTCTGCACACACATGTCCCAGGAAAGAACTAGCCCTGCTCTTTAGTGAAGAGAACCTTTGTAGTTTGTACAGTTATGTTGGTATACAAAGAGCAAAGTGTGGTGTTCAAGGGTGTCCATGATGGCGAAAAAATTAGACATGGTGACCACTTGAGATAGTCAACGTCAGACAACATGGCAACACTGTGCAGCACAAACTGTACAACAAGATAACACAGAGGATACGTTAGGAGGCAGCTCAATTCCAAACCAGTGTGCACACCCCGGCACTCGAACTGAGCCCTGCTTCAACATAAAGAAGCAATAGCCTCACTCAAGCTGAGCCCTGGTTGAACAAACAGAAGCGATCGGAACAGAGGAACAAAGAGCAAATGGTCTGAGAGCACAAAGCCACGCACCGGGAATGTGACCTGACTCTGCTTCGGCTGCGACCCCTGCGGCGAGGAGACGGACTTCGATCATGACGTGGCGATGAACTCAGGTCACGGCACCGCGAAGGACTCCGCTCGCGGCCAGTTGCTGGTGATGGACTGGCATCCCTTTGCCTTGGGGACCGAGCTGCCTTTGGCGACTGGCTGCCAGCTGGAACAGAAGGTGACCGTGACCGTGAGCCTGATCGGGAATGCATTTGCTCTTCCGGGGATCTGTCCATGGCCTGTTTCTTGTCGAGCGACCTCTTGCGCCCCCTTGAGCTTTTGTGGCCCTGCAAGCAGGGAGGTTTGGGCCATTAAACAATCTCAGCCGCAAAGGCACAGCCATGCAACTGCGCCGAAAGGTGCACAGCTAGCCCATTTGCCACACTTGGTCTCCACAAATTGCTATAGGACAATCGACATCGGCAGCACCAGCCTGCAGCGCAAGTGGGAATGTTGCCAAGCGAGATCAGCAGCGCTTTGGCAACAGCCTGCAAATTGCCAGCAGAAGGCAGGTGTCAGCAATCGTCCAAGACACATCTCCTGAAAATAGGGAATCACAAGCCAACCTCATCATCATCTTCCCCCGTTGCGTCATTGTTTGAGCCGTCGATCGGCGCCGGGCAAGAACCTCCGTCCGCATCCAACTTGCCGGAGGGCTGCTCATCGTGCCCCACGCCATTCTCCACAGCGCCCTCGCCACCCTTGCACTCGTTCATATCATCGTCTTCTCTGTCCTCGTACTCGCGCATCCCCTCGTCACCCTTCCTCTCAACGTTGCTGGCCTCTGGGGAGCCCTGGTCGACGCTGGGGCTCCTCCCCTCCATCCCATTCTGCTCGTTCTCGACCTCCTCTCCAACAGCTGATGAGCCCATGTCGCGGTTTCCAACTACCACTTCTCTGTTTCCAGCAGCACCAGGGACTGTTCGCTGCATTCAAAGGGCTGAAGCCAAAAGGGGGCGAACCGGGGGGGCGCAATCCAACGCAAACGCGGCAAGGCCCGCAAGCACTCCAGGGGGACCAAAACGAGGTTTGTTTGCACTCTAAAGCAAGCGACGTCTCCAACCATGAATAAGCAAGGCAACTCAGGGGACATATGGCGCCGAAAAATTGGCAGGAACGGCAGCGGCGCACAAAAACAGCCACGCAACCAACGCACGAAGCGGCAGCTCTCACGGCCCCGCCAGCCGCCATCACAACACACAACCCAGCGCTGGCACACAAAGGCGTCCGGAGGCGATGTTGGGCACCAGGACAGCCGGCGAAACGATGTCACTGTGCCGTCTGCCGGCAACACTATGAACCGCCTCCGGCAGAGGCCGTTTCACCGACCCTCGGGTCAGACCACCACTCTCCTCACCTCTGTACAAGCACGCGCAGGGGCGAGTGGACAAGCTGTCTCGGTGTGTGGGCGCGCCCTGGCCGGCCGAAGGGGGCACCCCTCGCGACGAGATACTGGGTCGGCGGCTGGGCGCCGTCGTCGGTGGAGCCGCAACAATGGTGGGCAACCTCTTCCTTGTCTATTGGCCGCGAAAAAATCCTTGGAGGTGGTGTTTGTGCGTGAATCGCTGACGCACTGGTGACACAAGTGATTGTGACTTGCATACGGCTGCCCACAATACTTTCACTTTTGGTCACCCATTAGCAGCGAATCTGGAGGGGAAACGCTATTTAGTCGCTGCGTTCCAACGTCAGCATGGACGCCCCGAACCGGGGCCGGGCCAGGCCGGCTAGGAGCGAGCTATGCCCCCCATGCGCCCCTCTTACGAAAATGGCGAAGTCGGGGGAGGGGCACCGGCGCCTCCCTTCCGCAGTTCCGCTTGGCAAGGGGGCGAACGTCAAGGGTGGATTGAGGTCTCCACGGGGCCAGAAAGTGGCCACAAAACACGCCACAAAATGGCAATCCCACCATTTCTCCCTCTACATCACCACCCCCAGTTTTGGGTGTATCAGAACTGGTCAACCTCTCAACGCAGACATTCAGGCTGCCAGCAAGAACAAATTGCATAGCACTATCAACCTTAGCTGTGACCCAAGCCACACAGCTATCACAGACTATGGGGAAAAAGTCAGTGCACATCTCTTTTTCTTTTTCTTTTCTGGCATTTTCTTCATGATCACCTCCAGACACAACACTATGACCATCTACTACAGTTGGGCCAGTGCGCCCAGACAAATGAACTCCCTCTGAGACCACAACAACAACTCGTGGTCCCACCAACACAAAATTCCACCAAGGGTGGCTCACCTTCACGTACTTCCGCCCAGAAATTTCCAGTGTTCGATGACTCTCTCTCATGGCTGGGTCACCCTGTTGTCTCCAGGGTAGCGTGGGCAGTGCATGCTGCCCCGTGGCTAGTTTATCTTTGTAGTTGCTTTCTCCAACCTAGGACAGACACTCACATAATGTACCAGACTCTTGCAGAGCTAGCACACTATACGATCATGTCCACCCTGGCTACCATCACTATTCTCACGGCCCCGGCCTCTGCCTCTGTCTCGTCCGCTCTGCCATTGCACAACTAATAATGAATCCTGCAGACCACCTGATTGTGACTGTTGTTGCTGTTGAGACTAACTGATTGCGTGGATCTGTTGCTGTTGCTGATGTTGTCCATGTCCTTTGCCTCGTCCATGTCCACCAGACTATCGGCCTTGACCTCTGCCCTGGCTCTGCCCCTGAGATTACTACTAGCCCCCATGTTGAAGACTGGAAAGACGCAAAGTTGCCACAATAGCTTGATCATAGTCTTCAAGCACCCAAGGCGCCACTGTTGACCTCATGGGCTCCTTGAGGCTCTCAATGAACTAGTAGTAGTACTCAACTCAAGATACATCAAGCAGTATGACCTCATGGGCTCCTTGAGGCTCTCAATGAACTAGTAGTAGTACTCAACTCAAGATACATCAAGCAGTATAAAGCTCCATTTCTGGAACTCTGTTACGCGCACCAGCCTGATGTGGGAGACGTCCTACTAATGGCCCTTGGTGTGGGGGACGCCCTGCCCAAGGCACGTACTATTCCTCACCCACTGTAACCTTTATCCATATTAGGATACGGGAGTAGGAGGGGTGGTCCCGCCTAGGTGCCCTGTAAGGACCTAGGTGCCCGGCGAGGCGGGTCCGCTGCTCAAAGAGGGCAGGAACCCCACACCCACATCCTATTCGTAACATTTGGTTTCGGAGCCGCCTGAGGGTGGCGACCACGCTTCCACCTGGGAGCGCGCGAGAGTACAAGACGCCGGAGCCCTTCCCCGGCCTCCTCTATGGAGGCTGAGGAATCGGAGGAACAAGCCCGGGATGGGCAGGGGGAAGGACAAGCCCGGGATGGGCAGGCGATCGAAACAGCCCGGGATGGGCAAGGAGCTGAACAAGCCCGGGATGGGCCAGGAGGTGTAACAGTCCGGGAGGACATGGCTGGACCCTCCACAGCCACATCGGCACCCGCAGCAGAAGATGAGCCGATGGAAGAAGTGGATACCCCGCCGGCGGCGGAGAAGACACAGGAGCAAGACCAGAACGCTGAGGCGGCGGCGACGTTGCTGAAGATCCCTGGTATCAAAGAGCTCCTGCAGAAGATGGCGGATACCGCGGCCGAGAAGGCGAGAGCGAAGCGGGATGAAGAGACCGCCGAGAGGATCGCCTCGCCGGAGATCGCCGTCAACAAGGCCAAGAAAGAAGCTCGAGAGAAAGAGCTGGCCATGAAGAAGGCGAAGCAGCAGAGCCGCGAGGCCCAAGAAGCCAAAACCTCCGCCGAAGACCAAGTCAAGGCGTTGAGTGACCGCCTCCTGAAGCAAAAGCAGCGGGCCCAGGAGGTAGAAGAGAGAAGCGCCCAACAGGTGGTGCCAGCTGTGAGGGCCCCCAGTCCGTCGGAGCTGCCCATGCCAACCATCCCAGAGGAAGACTGGAAGGTTGCCGGCAAGCAGCGCTCCAAGCGGAAGAGTCCATCGCCAGGTGAGCGGCCGATGGAAAGTGAGAAATCTCCATATCAAGGCCGGGAGGCCAAAGCCTTAGGGCGAGTTGAGAGAATGCAAGGCCGGAAGGTCAAGATCCCGGAGCTACGGCTCAAATCCCAGGTGCATGTGAGAACACCCAGTGGATCGGACGGGACGGGAGATGAGTCGCTCACAGAAAGCGCTCAAGCAGTATGCGGAAAAAGTCCGCCAAGGCCGGGAGGCCATAACTGGAGCCCTCGGAGGCCTGCGTTACCAGAGTGGGGGCCTGGTGAAAGCTCAAGGGTGCTGGAGTTCGTTCCAGACACTCGAGATCCATATAGCCGGCAACCACCATGCCGTGCAATATGGACAAAGTTCCACAACGATCTCGTTGATGAGCTTGACGAGGGATGGCGGATGGCCGCCGACCAGTTTGGAGAAAGGCTAACCACCGCCAGACTGGTTAGAATACAAAGGTGGTATGGTCCTGGAATGGCAGATCAAATTGCCAAAGAGGACCCAAATTGGCCAGAAAAGATGGCCTTTGCGCTCAGGCATATCCCGGAACCATGGGACTTGAGCGAGGGGAGTCCGGAGAGACCAGACCCTAATGATCCCCACGAGCGGTGGGAAGAGATCTCGGAATTGTCGTTCTCATCATGTGCTTCTCCTTTGCCGGGTGATATGTCAACCCGTGCACAAGTGCATAGGATGGAGAAGGAGAGACGACGGATTCGTAACCGAGATCGTTTTGCGCGGGCAAAGAAATTAGACGAGCAAAAGGCCAGAAAGGCCAAACAGCGGAGAGAGTTGAAAGCGCTGCGACGTGAGCGGGATCGTCAATTGAATCCTGAAAAGTATGAGCGTAAGCGAGCTCACAAACGCCAGCGCAAGGCTGAGATCAAGCGGTTTTTCTCCGCAGGAGGCAGCCAAAAGGCGCAGCGCCTGGAGGTACAGCCCAAGGTCGATGAGCTGGACCCGGCCGAGCAGGCTAAGGCCTTTGCCCGTATTGCCAAGGAGGGGACCTCCACCCGCTGGGCAGACCAGCAGGACAGTAGCGGCAGTGACAGTGGTGTAAACCACCCTGCCCGCTTTGTCCCTATCCAACCGGAGCCGGCATCGCCATCGGTTGTGGAAACCAGCGGTCCTAAGGTGCAAAGGATGCCGGAGAGGGAGATCCCGCTTGGAGAAGCAAAGGCGAAAGAACAGCCTGATAAGGCCAAAGACCCGCCTGCAGAGGCGAGAACACAGCCTAGAAAGGCAAAGGAGGAATTCAAAGGCCCGCAAAGGCCAGTCTCAGGTAAACATCCTGTTGAACTGTCTTTGCTGCAACCTGTTGTGAAGAATACACAGACGCGTAACCGTGCAGAAATTGGTGATTCTGCTGGTAACGATGAGATTGTGTATCTCGGTTCAGCAGGTGAACCTGCCAGTCCAATTCCCCGGGAAAGACGGGAGACATATGAGATCCTGCAAAGGCAGGAAGCTGCTTTGCAGAAAGCAAAGGCGGATGTAGAGAAAGCTGCACAGCTTCGTTCCTTGATGGGGGATGAAGACTATGCAGCATATCTGGAGCTGCAAGAAGCAAAGCAGATTTCTCATGGACGGCAGGAAATTGCCTACAAACCGGCGAAACCGGGGCCTGGATACCAGGAACGCCGCGCCCAGCAAATGGCGGCCGATCAACGTGGACGTGCCAAGGTGCCGCACGAGGCTGCAAAGCCCACCCCTGTGATGTGTGCCCCTGTCATACAGGACACGAGGGGCTTTGGGATACGCTGGGTGCCTTTCATGACCCTCATGGAGGGGTATACTTTAAGGGGTATTATCATCCCCGTGGAGGCCATGCCCCGTACAGGGCCCAAGTCCCAAGGGACGCCCTCCAACGTATACCCGGGAAGCTGCGTGGCCTCTTTGATGCACAGCAGACGGCACTGGGGATATATGTGCCAGAGGGTCAGGAAGCAGCCATGGAATGGCAGGCCCTCCAGAGAACTGGCCGAAAAGTCCCTGAAGAGGGATCGGTGCAAATGCCCCCGGGACCATCGATGCAGGCAGGTCCCTCCACACCGGCTCGTCCAGTGGCTCAGCCCGAAATGGCGCCAAGACAGCCGGTGCGGCCTTATACAATGGGGCAGGCTGGACAGCGGACATCACAGCCTCCTGTGCAAACGACGCAGCAAAAGATTCAAAGGCTACAGGAGATGTCTCCATTTGCGCCGGAGTCAGCTGTGTATCCGCCAATTCGGTATTATCAGCCAGGGATGGCGGCACAGCCCGGGAGGGCATACCAACCCGGAAGGGTACCACAGGCGGAGATCGCCCCAAGACAAGAGGAGTACCCAACACCCGCTTACAGTGGATCATCCCATCCATCCGGATCGGGAGGTTACGAGGGGGTGTACGAGTACCCGCCCGGTCATTTCCAGACCCAGGAACCTCCACATGAGGAATTTCTGTTTGGGCTGGAGGGTGATCAGGCTGTTGAGCCACATCGGGCGGAAATGGGGCCTCCACCGCCTCCGGAGGGGTACAATCCTCAAGGGCCGGGTTATACCGGTCAAGCCTATTTGGCAGCGGCGCAG